GGGGGCGTACCAAAGAGACCATCTTATCACAAGCAGAACTGGTTTGTTCCAATTTGGAGTAAGCTGTTGAGGGAAGAATCAGTTTTGTTGTGCGTTTCCTTGACTAATGAAGCCTTCTGGATCAAAGGCGAAACGTTTCAGCACAAAAAAAAAAACCTGTCCAGATGACCTGACTGAAAAATGTTGGATTCAATGATAACCTTTCTTATGACTAGAAGCAGCTACACCAAAATAGAAGCTGGCATGTTGCTTATTTTTGACCAAATCATTTGAGAAAACTACACATTTAAGAAATATAAAAACTAAAAGAAATGTTTTCTCAAATGGTTGGGCTGGACGGTTTATATATATATATATATGTGGTGGCCATCAAGAACTTTGACTTTGCAACCTAAATGTTGATGGTGACCTTTTCTACCCCTAGATGCAGCCATCTAGGGGTAGAAAAAAGGAAGTCAGCACATTGCTCATTTTTACAGTTCTCTAGCTGAAAAGAAGGACATTTATGGTGGCGGCCATCATGAATTTTGACGTGGCAAACCAATTCTGAAGGGAACTTTTCTCATGCCTAGATCTAGCCACACACCAAAATGGATTTAGATTCAGATTCAAACAACTTTATTTATCCCCAAAGGTTAATTCGGTTTGGTCGTTTACCACCCTTACAGATATACATATGCTCATATATGCTCAGGGCAGTTGTGGCTGAGTGGTTAGAGCAGTCATCCTCCAATGGGAGAGCTGGGGTTCGATTCCACCAGCAGTCACATGCTTAATGCCCCTTTTCCACCGTCACAAAGCAGATCAGATCAGTTCGGGTTGGTTCAGATCGGTTCGGGTCTGTTGTGTTTCCATGTACATTTCTGGACCAGCTCTGTAGGCGGGGACTAGAATCCAACTCGTCTTACCACCTGGTGGCGGTAGTGCTCCCTTAAGCTACTTACTAGCCACCACTAAACATATTAGAAGAAGAACACCCTGAAGGTTTTGTCACACGACGTTGTGGAAGCGATGTTATGCTCTGATGGAGTACCTCATGAGCTGTAACTTTTAAACCTGATTCATAATCCTACCTTACTGCCTTCCCTGCTGCTTTAAACCCATGTGTTTTTCATTTTAGTATAGATTTTTACAATAAAGATGTATTAAAAATATCTTCACTTTTATTATTTGCAGATATGCACAAGGTTCATGTTAAAATTGCAAAACTTCACACTGTGCTGTAATCTTTGAAACTACTTTTACAATAAGATACAGACTTGAAAACAATTAGATTAAATTTTGTCCTTGAATTTTAAAGATTTGTCTTTCATTAAATTAAAACATAAATTTATTACTTATTAATCTAAAAAAGTTAAGTCTGGTCCTCTGGACATTCAAAAAACAAAACTAACAAAAAACATTTAGTTTATTTATTATAAACTGTATTGTTTGTTTTGTGAATGTCCAGAGGACCAGACTTAACTTTTTAGATTTTTCTACCTGGATTATTGAGCAGCATCAGGATATTAATTAATAAATAGTCAGTTGGTCTGTGAACACCATGGGGTCCTAGAAGAGTTGAAGAGGTGGCTGTTGATGTCTGTGCCTCCCTGGTGAAGATGCTGCTCCCACAACCCTGAAGCAGAAGAGGATGGATGGATGGATGGATGGATGATGGATGGATGGATGGATGGATGGATGGATGGACGGGTGGCGAAGGAGGAGACCATCAAACAGCAGGAGTGGTCAGTTCAGGTGAACTCCTGCCTGTTTGCTTCAGATCAGCTGTTCAAATCTCTGCAGGTTCAAATAAAAGGTGCACCAGGACTTTCAGCTGAATCTCTCGGGCCACAGTTGTACGGACAATAACTGATAATTGATAACTGATAACTGTCCTTTCTGAATTTTTTACTGTTTTTGTGTCACTTCATCCTAGAACCAAAAAATTATAACATAATAACAGTTGAGCAGATTCTAGTAATCTTTTCTTAGGATCCATTAAAGATCAAATGCAATTGGAAATGTTTCTCAACTTCCAGTATGAATTTAAACAAACACTTTATGAACTTAACATTGTAAAATTTGTTTAGGAAATTTAATGTTCAAGGACACCACTTAAGAAAAAAATTGTTTAATATGAAAAGTAAGAAGTGAAAAATGTACAAAAATAAAAACTACTGCGTCCAACTAATGATTGTGTCTGTCCCTTGTCTCACGGGCTTCATCCAGAAGACACAAGTGTTGTTCCTGCTGTGTCCGCTTCAGTTCTTCATGTTCATTCAGTGATGAAATAAGACTTTTCTTTACTGGACTCTTTTCTCTTTCTCTTCACTAGAAAGAAGAAAAAGTGGTTAATTCAAGCTACATACTGTTTTTGAATAAATGCATAAAACAAAGAAAGGTGCTGCTAACAGCTATAATAGATATATTAATAATAATAAACTGATCAAATAAGAAAATG